TCGTCGTGTCGGTGTCTGTCGCGTGCTTTGCACTAGTTACCCCACTGGCCACCTGTACGTATGCAATGCTGCTGTGCCTTTTTCCCTGATGTATATTTAGCTTTTTATTCTTGTCTCGTGCTTTATATTAACCTGTATTTTCTTTTTCCTCTCCTTTGGCTTATATGGTCTTTTGTTTTTTGATGATTTTTTTCTGTTTTGCCTTTTTTTTCTTTTCATTTTCTGATTTTTTTCATATTTACCGGCTATGTTTCTTTCTTCTCCATTTAGTGTTCTTTTGGCGTTTTTTTTGCTCTTTGGTCTTAGGTTTTTTTGTCAAATTTTGTTTACTATTAACTTTTTTTCCCTTTTTTGTGGTTTGTTCTGCGGTTATTTTGTCGTAATTTGGACTTTATTTCATGAGATTCTATTATTGAACATCAAATTAATATTGAAACTACTTGCATGTTTTTCTCAAAACTGGGTTGCTTTTTAAATGTTGAGGAAATTTTTAGTATTCCTGCCTTACTTATGTGTGTTTGCACTGATTTAAATGAAGAGACAATTTGAACGTGATCTGTGACCAGAGGTGCAGCAACTACATTCGAACGATGGACTCAAGTTCTTCGATCCCTGCCACGTAATGCAGCGACCAAAAAGGGATGTAGATCCTGGAACTAGCATTTTAGCATAATCAAAATCCCTCTTTCAGTATATAAATTTAGGTTTGTTCCCGGGGGTTTTAGGGTTAGTGTAGCTAATAATTGCGTTTATTGATATTTGAGTGACCATGAGGTACGTGGAGTCCATGTTCATTAATCACTTCTGGAATCGCCAACCACTTTCACACTTATACGGCAAAACTGTTTTCTGCTATATATTTACGGAATGCATTAAAAATTAATGGACGTTTCAGCTAACCGTATATTCAAGGGCTGGAATTCATGCGGCAAGATATTTTGGAATTTTAGGATATTTAGAACTCAGAGACGAGGAACCTGGCTGGATTCGGTTGGGACTTATTCGTTATTCAGCAACGCTATCTAATCAATTTCAGCATGGTAATTTGTCATCCATAGATTTATAGAAATCAAACACTACAAGAAAGACAGTTCGCTACCGGCAACTAAGCTTCTCTGAGAACATGTTACGCAAGAGCATGACTCATCAGAAACGGATCTCGTTTTCCTTTAGAAATCCCATAACATCGCCCTGGATTCGCCAATCTTGCTGATTATGCACAAAATGTCAGGCAGATGGCTTCTTCACAATAAACAGGAATGGTGAGGATTAGGCCATCCTCTTGTCGTCACTCTAAAGCCAGCTTAAATTAATATCGCATCTCAACAAGATAAATAAACGGATCGGTTAATAATCTCAAGCACCAGTGAAAGGCCATTTCTGGAGTACTAAAATTCGTCTCTCATGCAAGTTTTTAGTGCGATTAGCCTAAAACTGATCACCTAGCCAATTAGAAAATGCACCACAGAGCTAACATAGGACCATTTACGTCAACTTCGGCTTAGTGGCCCTACGACATAAAACCGTCAAGTCGGTTACTTGAATCCGCAGCCATTTGGTGTGCAAATCCGAGTCACTGTGGCAGGCTTTGTAATTTCTGCAATATACCTAATTCACTGGTAATTCATTTAATCGGCCAAATGCCCTGGCACATGGCCTCGAGCCAAACCGGAGCCCCTGCGTTGAATTTGACCCGGTTACATCATGCAGATACACGGAAGGTCTACGAAGACCAGAAACGGCGGAGACAGAGTTGATGGAAGCGAATCACTACGAATCTTTACCGGGAGTCCTAGGCACTCCCTTCTGGTTTTCTTGATTTTGTGTTTGACGGCTTTGAATCTTTGGGAAACTACTGCGTCTCCTTTTATTTTAGATGATTAAGTGGTAGATAAGCGTACATGGTAGCCCCACAAACAAGATTCTAAGTGGTCGTCGTCGTACCAGCATCCAGATTTTGCACTACATCATCCTGGACGCCACCTGTTACAGTTCGTAACAACCTGAAAGATTTCACTCTACCATTTTTGTGATGTTACCAATAATAATCGAGTCTTTACTAAGAGAATTGATTGAATCGCAGTATTAAACATAATCTCTTCTGGGATGAGGTTTATACTGTCTTGCATAACAAATTTTATTGGCAGTGTGCTCACGCATTGTGATGAAAGTGCTGGGTATTCTACCACCCTCGAAAACAAGCTTCAGACAGACGATAAATATTTATAAAACACATCCAATCAACTAAATAAAACAACTGATTGATCAGTAATCAGTTAAGAATAATGTAACCAAACCAACTGTCACATATTCCAGACGGTAAGGCTTTGCAAATGGGCAGGGTGAAATGGAAGAGAGTTGAGCATTAGGCCCCGAAATGGAACCATTTTTTAAAGAGTTGCCGAATATGGCCGAAGAGGGTGGTAGGGCGTTGAGGAGGGGGTGGTGTGCTTGATAATTGTGCTGGGAATTTGATACATATAACATCGCCACCAGTTTCATCTACCAATTCCCACTTGATGGTCACGTGAATCTACAACAGATGGCACCAAGAGCAAACGAGAGTGGCAAAATAGCACTGCGAATAGTGAAATCTCCATGCTACGGATTAATGAGCATGGACATCTTCAGGTTTATTAGATCTCTTCAACACACGATTCCAGCAGCCGTACTCATAACCTGTCCTATGGGCATGAGAAATTATAAAAACACTTAGTTACTACGATAAACCATGTCTAATTTAAACATGTGATCTTATGGCCTGAAACAATTTCTGCAGCTGATCACGCTACACATTCTCACACTGGCATTATACATAAACAAAATGGGAGCCCATAGCTTGTTTACTTTCAGTACCCAGAGAATGTAAACATGTGGACGACCGATTTTGTTTACTTCCGGTTACCGAGATAAGGTCTCGAATTCACACCGACAGGGCTTGAGGAAGATCTGTCTTTCGAAAAATAATAAAACGAGACCAAGTATGTCAGTGTCATAGTACCCTCATGATGAAGTCGTCGTTAGCAATGCGCAGAATTCCTAAACAGTCCGAATAGTCTAAACGCTCCTTTAAATTTTACAAAATTCTTAATGGCCTAGCTTCCTGAAAATAAGTAGGGAACCTTTTGTTACTTGATGGTTTCAAGTGGCTAAGTCAAGAATATGGATTTGGATACTAAGTGATACTGCAATGAAGATGTGACGAAGAATTAATCTTCGAATAGTCATCCAATGTGTTAACCTAAGGAAATTATTGGGCAAGTGTCCACTTCGACTGCGGTTTGGAATAAAATTTACATGCAACACTCAATGTGTCCAGCAACAACTTTAGCGCGGATATCAAAAATACGATGAGGTGTTCATTCTGCTTGGGGAGTTGCTGCCAAACATATGGAGAAATAGTGGCTCCAAAAAACTTACCGATGGATAGGATTCTTTAACAAAGAGCTCGTAGTCCATTTGCTCGATGGCATTTGGCTGGATTGTGCAGCCAGGTTTGACGAAATGGCAGAGGTCGTTATCTGGGAGGGAGAAGGGAATCGGAATGCCCCCGATGATTCCGTGAACAACTATCTTTCCCGACTTGATGACTTCATCTAGGAATAATCAATGTCGCAGTATTAAGGAAGATTCTACAACGAAATATTTACCTAAAAGAGAAATACTTGTGCAATTAGCACAAGACCCAATTTGACCAAATGTAGTGCACATGACAACAGATCGCGAGATGATTAAAGTGGATTAGCAAGAGTGATAGGAATATGAATTATCGATTTCCAGTAGCGAACTGCTGGACACATCTTCCCTTGAGACGACCCACTTATTAGTACTCCAAAATGTGTTCGCATTCAGGATTATTAAAAGGGTCCCACAGAGCTTCCAAAAAAAACAATACCTGCCGCATGCCAAATAAATCAAATAACACACATATAATGTAAAACGTACTTGAATTGAATTTTATGCTAATTGAAGTGTTCTGTCCTTTCACCAAAACACACGGGTTTCCTCCACACGGCGTGATTTCACCGTCCATAAAGGTTCCGTGACCTGACACCAAAAAGAAGCAAAGCGGATTTGTTTTCTCGTGATTATATCACGTTTGCGTATTAAAGTATTTAAAAATGCTAATCCGTGAAATGAAGTAAAAATGCTTGCATTTAGCCACAAGTCATGTAAGGCTGCAGTAAGGAACTTCTTCTCAGTTTAAAGGATTTTATTGAAGAATAAACATTTAATAAGATATGTATTGTTAGCTTACACAAAACTTGTTTAAGGCATCAAATAAAAAAAATTCGAGACAACGCTTACTTCCTGTGCAGTCTTCCATGCCAGGAATCGCACCATGGCAGTAAAGAGGCAATAAAAACACGACAAACAAACCACTCGTCGCTAAAAGCATCATGACACGGCCTTTTCAAACACGCTAATGACGTTTAGTTTAGGCGCAGCTTACAGTCATCCAATCATCATCTAGCTCGCAATTCGCCACACGCAATTGGTTTGGCGTGTTACATGCAAAGGGGGTGACATGCAGAAAGCGTCACGTGGTCACGTTCGAGTACGTAACGCTTTTAAAGGTTCACGAAAATGAATCATGGCATCCAGTGGCACGTACGCTACTGTCCATGACTGATACATCCAGGGCAGTCAAAGTACGCTCTAATCCACCCCGGCTCACAAATTACTAAACCTGTTCCGAAACTTGGGAATTGATTAAGTTTCAATGACCCTCCACAAGACAATTTCCCATGGGTTACTGCAGTTTACCCTTTATGTATAGCACTAGTATTAATGTGTTCACTCATTGGGGCGCTTTTAATGAGCTGTTTGTGGCTATAACCGTGCTTCCTGTTTCAATTCACGACTCCAGACCGTTCGATTATTCATAGAGGAGATATACCGCCGTAACATGCCAAAATTTGAGCCCGACCGACATCGGCAATGACATTACATGTCCAGTGAAAAATCGATCACTTCAGGTCTTTAGGAGCGGCTCCACAAACCAATTACACAAAAGAGGTGGTAGATACGACCCATGAAGAATTATGTGCTACAATCTCTGTAATGACAACATTACTGTAAAACCATTATAGAAAAAAGAGTTTTATTATTCAACAAGATAAATAATAGAACCACTTCAAAGTAATGAGTCAGAAAGAAGAGGCAGCAACATTATTGAACAATAAGGTGTCAGGTATCATCGAGGAAGCGTTCGAAGGCGTTGCGTTCCTCCAGTGTGCCGAGGTCAGTGGCCGGATCGAGAGCAAGAGTTTGAGTCGCGGACAAGGAAGCGCTCTGCTGACCAACGGGCCCAGGCAGCGACGGCGACGACGAACTTGAACACGAGGCCGTGGTGGAAGATAATCGAGACCCCACTTCATGACCAAATTGTCGGTGGCGGCTTTCCTTCGTCTAAATGAAACATAATTTTTGTGCGTAAAAGCGTGAGATGAGGGCTATCCCTGTACACAGGACCGACGTGCGTGCATCCAACCCTCAAAGGCGGAATACAGTTGAGATTGAGGGCCAAGAAATAACGCAAACCTGTCTCAATATCTCTTAGCTACAAAGGACATTCAAACTGCACAAAACAAATTGTGAGGAAGGTGGAGACGTGGGAAGTGCGTGGACAAGTAATTTGATCGAGTCAAATTGATGTGAATATTCAGCACATCATCAAGGGTTCAACGTAATACCTGGTATCAACGCTCCACTTCTGATATACAAGCTTTAAATGCTTAGTCCTCTCACATTGTGCGTAGAATTCAATCCCGACTAAACTGATATGATTAAAAACATTGTGAGGTGCTTTACCACATAATCCACCCGTTGAAATGGGAAAGTCTAAACCGAATGTCATCAAGGATTGGCTCATGCACAACATCAAGATGGTTTTCTAATTCCACGTCTATCGAAGGAGGCTGGTGACACCTTATAGGAAGGAGAATCGGTGGAAAAGGTGAGGACATTGGCACAAATAAATGAACCTTCTGTGGGCTAAGTTACTCATCGTCTGAAGGCTATTTACGCCAGAGTGTTTAGGATGGCGCGAACACATTCTTTTAAGTCGCTTATGCTCCTAGCATTTCCAAAGGAGCGATATAGCACATTGAAAAGCTCAAAAACAAGATGCGGAGATCAAATCGAGACATAAGCGTACGAAAGTCCTCTTAGCTTCGACACCGTCAGTGAGTGTAGTTGAGACGAGACCCAACGCCGGTCCTAGATGTTCCTCATCATCATCGTCATCCTCGTTCATTAAGTCATCATCATCTTCATCGTTGAGGTCGTCATCAGCTGAGTCGGCGAGTTGGCCCAGTCTGGCAGTAACACCACCAACGTCGTCGCACGTACTGGGCCTACCATTCGCGCCGCCAAAGAGCACTGCATCCGCGGGGTCTATGTCCTCTTCGAAGTCTGCCACCAACGCCACTGGATCGGACGGCCTAGAGAGAAAATCGGTCACCTTAGCCGACTGAAAAAAAACTAGCCTTTGCAGTGTCCTCTGGTAAATTATTGCAAACCATTTATTCTAAGGCCAAAATATACATCGGCGTGGTTTCATCTAATGATTAGCTGCATCGACTCAATTACTTGTTACAAATAACAGTATTGACAATTTAGTGAGGACGATTGACTTCTTATAGCATATGTACCGTTGACTAAGGCCGTCACGTTCAGTCACATGAGAAAGATTATCATCTGGAATCATACAACCAGATACCTCAATATGTGGTCGGGATACAAGCCATAGTTGAGGAAGAGTAAGTCCAGAACACCGATTTGCTTATGCTTTTACCGGAAATTGAGCCACAACAACAGTTTATAGCAGCTCCAGGGTAGTATTTGACGCTACTGACTGACCAATGATTCACAAACATGGGGCAAGATATAATATCTACTAAAAATTTGATGTTTAAATGCGACCACATTGACAGCAAAAAACCTGGCCGACAGTGATAATTCCTTTGGCTGATTTGATGAGCGGTTGCTAATTAGTTTTCACTGTGTCAAGTCCGGGACAATGCATAGACAAGACACAGTTAATAGTTGAATTGCTTGTAAGATAGCAGAGAACCGTTATCTTCTGAGTTGGGTGACATTCGCAAATAGTTGGAAGAGTCAAGAACCCTAGGCTGGTATCAAAGAGGGTTCGGTGCGGAAAGTTGGAGTCATAAATTTAAGCTTAAAATCCAGCTTACCGGTCAAGTGGGTCGAGGTTCACGGCCAAATCACTTTTCGGGAGCGTTGCGGGCGTAGAACGGTTGTGTTTTTGAGGCGAGCATTGAAGAAACTCATGCAAGGCCGCCTCCTCGGCTTCAGTTGGCACTGTTTGTGGAAGAGACTGATTCCCTGATTCATCTTGCTTTCCTTAAAAAAAACATTTTACAAAACCGATAGCTTATTGGCGCGGAGTCACGTAGTACAAAGCGAATATGAATGTGAGCTTAATCAACAAATCACCTGTGTCATTTGGTTATGAAATCGAATCCAACGAGACAAAATTTTGTGAAAAAAAGCTTGAGAATCAAGCTAATTTAGGTTTCTAAAAGACCTTATTTGATAAAATGTCCAGTAATAAGTACAATCTGCACGGTACTCCGCGGAAATGCCTTGACATAATAATAAACAATTGCGTTAAATAGGGTTGATTTACATTGGCCAACCCGAAAGTTGCATATTCCAGTACACCGTCCCCCAGGTCGGTCTGCTCACATACACTCGTGCGTGTACCAGTCCCGCTTACCGTTTCACACATCTGGTAATTCAGACATTTGAGGAGACAGGGCAACAGAAAGTACAGAGTGGTCAAAAGTGGAATCACTACAAAATGTGAGAGAATCCTTCCCGTGGACATAGGTGTCATTTGATTAACCAAGCACTTAGAACTCACGACATTCAGGCTGCCTTTGCAGTCGATAGCGCTCGTGTTGGTTATTGGCTTGTGGGAGTGGGGGAGTCGCCTGTGTGCGTGTAGCGGCTCGACTGGAGCCATTAACTCCACCTTAAAATGAGAAAGTTGTCACTAATTTGGAGACCCAATCGTCTGCTGGGAGAACAATAAACTCACTTCTAGAATTTGGCAGGGTAGCCGTCGCCTTGGTAGTTTCCAGCCACCGCGTAAACCTACCAATACTTTAGTGGGTGAAACAACAATACAAACTCAGAACAAACACAGGCTAAATTAAGCGCATAGAGAGGGGAACTGAATGAGTTAACCAAAGTAGACCACAAATAACAGTGCATACTGAGTATCTTTCTTTAATGATCTTGCTAAAAGGCAGGAACATAATAGCATTTTCAAGCTTAATCAGTTTAAGAATTTGAATAGTGAGCGGGAGGTTCTTTCGACCATGCAAACGACCTCAACAACGTACTGACACAAGAACTTGAATCACAGAGCCAGTGCAAACAGACAACCACTACTTCTGCTACTACTACTACGACATGGACATATTCACATCCCAATGATAATTAGTGCGCTAACGATACATCCATGGGGTTACCTACACAAGACCATCGGCGTTTACATGTGGACTCCACGGGGAAGACTTCTGAGATCGCAACCGTTGAAGGTGTCACAAGCATCAAAAAATTATTTTATGAGTCGATGGTTACGAAGGTAAGTGGAATGAACTAAGATAGTAAATCAATACTTAACTGGGGCAGCACGCGGTACAATGAATTTTTACCATTTAACGCACTCACGAATGTTGGCGGACGAGGATAAGGATTGTTGATCCAGGACGATCACAAACATATCAACGAACATTAATAACGCGGACACACTCTGAGGTGAATATAGGAGGTAGGGAAGAAAGCAATAAGGTAAGTTGGCAGAAAACGCACTTGTCATAGGAGCATATAACTTCCCGGTTCTCCTCTGCTAGGTCCAGTTGCTGACTGACGGCCGAGAAGGCTTGTCGATTGACCGTAAAAGCCTGCAGGAGATTTGCACATTGCAGGTGAAGGAAGGGAATGTTTAGGAAACGGTGAATGTACATCAACCCAAAGCCGTTCTGCATTGAGGCTTCGCAGTAGCGAATGGGCGCGCATCTTTTAAACAATAAAATAGAACACCTGTCAAATCAAGACAGTCGAATTTGAGAAGCACAAATAAAACGCACTCCTTAATACTCATGATGGAATACTACATCCGCTGCAGAGTTGATTAGGTAGCACTGCCACCCCCGACCACGTGACACAGAAGGACACAATAGTTAAAATGCAAGTGGAGATAGACAGTAAAAGTTAAAGCGGTCACAATTACATGAGGTTATTAGGAGGCGAAAAGAGCGACCGTGTGAGGAAGTCTCACGGAAAGATTGATGAGTAGTCAAGATATCATTAAGGGGTGTGATCGAACAATGAGTGAAAGGTGCATCGATGCAGTGGGTTCCCCACTTGCCTGTAGGAAACACCAAATCGAATTCAACCCGAAATTTTTGAAACAGGTGTCTGTGTTTGCGCTGATAACAATAATAATAATAGCCCAGCTACCATATACCTAGAACGAAAGTGAAATAAAAGAGTGGCACCTGTGCGGGAGGCTGACGCTCCCCTATAACTTCGTGTTCACCAGAAACGTCCCTATATCTATATAAGAGGTTGTTTTAGTGGATCTCTAAAGGAATAATTACTGAGAGATGATTTAAGAAAACAGGTGCAGAGCAAGATAACGGAGATTACGCCATTGGGCGATAATCAAGCACGAAATTGAACCACTAGTTGGTAAACCAAGCGTTCTAAAGTGTACAATGCAATGCAAAACAACGTATATCATGCAGTGACTGGCAACCTGAGTCAGATCCCAAAACGGCTCGAAAACAATTACAGACCTCCACTCCAAACAACCTGCGGACCTCTTCGGTAACCTAATCACGATTTCAGCACATTTAAAACGACCGCTTAGTAGCCATATTACTTTGGAAAGTTTCCGGTTCAAGACTAGATGGAAGGCACAACGAATTACTTACAAGTACTGTCTTCGGAGGTCGCGGAAATTGTCGTCAGACAAAGAGGAGCTATTGGCGGAGGTTTGACGCGCCCTGACCATACTCTGAGTGAAGGAACGTGCTTCTATCTCCGAAACCTCACGCTCCTCGTCGGAAAGTGCGACGGTGTCTCGGAAATTTCCCACAACCAAAACAGGAACTGATTGGGGAACCTTTGGCAGCTCTCGACGCACATACTCAAACGTCCTGATTAAAAGATAAGTACCTTTGTGGGAGGAGGTAGGCCCTCGAAACTCAATAAACGAAAGTGAAGGCCGAAGTGCATTAAAAGAAAGCTCAGGGCTGAATGAAAGTGTACTGAAAGCAAGTGTACAACACTCGGTGCCAGCGTCAATATGCACAAGCCGCAGGTAAAGCGGTAGGCTCACCAACAATAATGCCTTCAAAATGGGGAGTCACAGGCAACCAGCGTACTCACACAGAGCTCAGAGACGTCAAGAACTAACGTGGTAAGCATTTTTACAGTGGCCTGCTACACATGAAGTCCTTTCAGGCTACCAGTAACAGATGCATGAGTTCTTTCATCTCAAAATGGGGAAAATAGTTAAAAGTAAACACAATGTCAGAAAATGAAGAGGACAGTTGCCGCAACTTAGGGATTGTACAAAATCCAGCAGCAAATTTGTTAATAATTGACACCAACATTATTTCCTTACCATACCGAAATTGAGAGCGACCTCATTTGAATGCAACAGGTTTGCTAAAATCAAACATTTACAGACAAGAAGCGAAGGTTTGCCACACCCGTATTTGCCAGGATCATCACAAGAACCAATATTTTGGACATTTTACAATAAAGTGACTTTGGTACAATTCCCTGCATAATCAGTTCTGCTGAAGTTAGAAAGCAGAATAAGCGCCCCTCCAAATAAGGGGAATAGTCGCTTCGGTTAAGAACGACCAGAGCCCAGCTCCGTGATCATGTGAGATAAAAGAGGACTCAAGAAGAATAATCTAATCGATAAATTTGAGAATTGAAAAGACTGACAAATGGCTTCGATTTGACTAACGAAAGTGAGCACATTTACAAACTACCGCATTGGCACTTCAGTTAGCAAATGCACACCAAAATATATAAATTTCACGACGAAAATAAGCTGGGCATACTAAATGAGTAATTGCTGAATTGTTAATGAGCGGACACTTCACATGAGCTGTTTCTGATAACACGACAAAAAGAACAGTCCTCAAAACGCCTCCAAGCAAATTCACATAATAGGCGTTCAGCCTAAGTTGTTCTGTGGCTACAGATATGTCTTCGATGCTGATGAATAACTGATGCAAATTTGATGTTGGACCTACAAAACTGCATACTTCCATGCATAGTCTAATGTGAGTAAAATTACCGGTCCCATAAGTAGATCATGTTCGATAAAAAATGGCTGCATATAAGTGTCAGAAGTAGAATGAGAATAAGCTCAAGCAAACTTACTGCTTGTTTGTGATATTGAACATAAAGATAACACCATTAGCACCTTGGTAGACATCGATGAAGGTAGAGTCTAGGGAGGCCACAGCCTTGGTACTCTAAAGTAAGAGAGAAAATTCAAGTAACATGCGACCGGCGTCCCCAAACACAAGCAAGTCAACAAAGTGGTGAAGTACTGACGAAGAAAGCGGGCCTGGAAGAATTCACAACGATTGGGAATCCAACTTCACAATGCACAAACTGAGTCGAAATTTGAGGAAAAGTCAAAAACCAGTGTAGTCGAATCTGTTCACCTAAAAACCCAACCCTCATGTCAAAACGAGCAAAACATAAGCAATTTGTGCAGGATATTTTCACTGGATGTGATTGGGAACCGTGGAATTATGTAACGATCGCCATTTGTCGAGTTAAACTTCTGGTAAATTTCAGGGGGCTCATCTTGCATTAGAATGCATTAATTGAAGAAAAGATTAACCCAAAAAATTCTTCAAGTTTCCAGTTGTTTCGGTAACATGTTTAAACTAATTTTTTTTATAAATAACGTCGGGTCAGCTCCCCCTCATAATCTAGTGTTAGTGGAAAAAGCAATTATTGATAGATGTTTTGAGTAAAATATTCCTAGCGCAGATAGTCATCGAAATCCTGTTTTTTTTGACTACATTCAGATCTCAAATGTTCTGCAGGATCCAAAGAGACGATACATCCGCAGTTAGCTACCTTTAAGCTGTCTAAGCATAGCGCATTGTTAATTAACACTTAAGCTTTTTGATTTAGGTATGGGAGTAACATACCGAAGTATGCAAGAATAGGGAAAACGTTATACACATAGCTCCTGTCGCTTAAAAAATGATTTCATTTTGCTAAAATGTCGTCAAGTAGCCTGTAAGCTGGTTGCTCGTTACACGTATTTGCTATCAAAATTAAACTGTCACAATAATTCCGCAAACTGGTATGGGAAGACCTAAAATACACATTTCGTGCAATACTCTGAGCTGTAGGGTTCGAAATGGAAAAACAGTAAACCCTCTCATTTACCTTTGTCCCTTTCCTACACAAGACGCTGATGGCGTTTAATTCCATAGCACTAAATTGCCGAGGGTTAGTCATATCAGTACGCATATTTCTATTATGGGCGGCGTCACTGAGGCTGTTGCTTTACAAATAATAACGATGCGTTCAAATTAATGATACGTTTAAGCAACTGGCACTTTTATTTTTACATGGATACTCATAAGATGCAACTATTTCATAAATGTTATGATCGTGCATCATCCAATTCTCAGTAGTCATTTAGTTGCATGGTTGATTAGTCTGTCCGTTTCATTTTATTGCAGTAAGTTGATTCCCGAATTTCAAATGAGCATAAAGAGCAAGGCTTAATGAGTTTCAGAAGACTACAGAAGTCTTTTGAAATCTCAGCATTACATCGCATCTATTTCATGGACGCTCCAGCCAAAACCGAAAAGTGGGAAATTTAGGAGTCATTTATAAAACAACGTTGCTGGAAGAAGTCATTTATGCGACTGACTTACACAAACATAAACTAACCATTACGTATTCGTTTATGATTACAATAAACGAAGCCAAACTTCCTAATTTTGGGGGACAAGCGAAATGAAGAAATTTATATGAATTCAAACAATTTTGTTTCAAAGAAAAAATTAAGATAAATCTAAACATTACAAAAAATATAGATTTGAAGAAAAGTGTTAAAGAACTACCGTGGAAAAGTGGCATATAAGAATAGAAAAACACAACATACATCGTTCACATATGAAGTAGTAAACATTTGAACTCGACAAATATCAGCTAGACAAAAGTTTGGAGGTAAGACTGGTTAAATGATGTCAGCCGACTTACTGTAAACGTTTAGCAACAGAATTAGGTCGTCACTAGTTTGTAATATGTAGGAAAAAATTGCATTCGATAAATAAATTCGTCTCAGATATGTTCAACTACAGTGACACACTATATTTTAAGCCCTTAGAATTCTTGCTTGAATTTTTCTAATTTAAATTTTGATACATAAAATCGTTGATTGAAACTAATAAAAAAAGGAAAGCACATACCTGTGGTCTCTTTTTAAACTTTGACATATATCCTGAAGCTTTGGTACCATGTGTAACTTCCCTCTGTCGGCCTTTGTCGACAACATCCCAGACGTCTACTTTCACTGTTTCACTCGTTGGCTGATAATTCCATAAAATACAAGCAACCTAAATGTACAGTAAAAAGCGGTAAAAACGAAGCACGAGCAATCGGTTAAAGGTTAATTGGCAAACAACTTACCCTAATTTCATCAGTTGGCACATATTCAACGTCAAAGTCTTCTCCCTTGAGACGTGAAAAAAGAGCGCTTTTCCCAGTTCCGCGTTCGCCACGAATTAAAAGCTTCACTAAGTGGGCACAAAGATCTCGATGGGTTACATAATAGGGCCTCAAGAAGGCGAATTCATTCACCGTATTCGTAAACGACGCGTAAATTAGGGGGAACACGATTTGAAAATTGTGTGCGATCTGCATTCGTTGTCTTAAATGTTTGGACATCGATAGCCTATAGTAATTTTACACACAAGGCTCTGTGGATTGGAGCACGCAGACTACGACTAATTTGAGAAACTATCCCAGTGTCTGTCTTGATAAAAAATCGGGAGTGTATGGTAAACCAGAACGATTATGCAGCACAGATCCACAATGCCGAAAAATAACACATAGCCTGATTTCATGAACGTTGTTTGTCATCGTTTCAACACGAAAAACGATTGGTTACATTATAATTTTATATGATATACGCAAGGTAACTAACAATTATACTTAACGCCACAAGCAAGTCTTTCTTGGAGCTCTGGTTTTAAAGAATTGAAGCTTTCACAGCCTGACGAAACACTGGGTGAACAAGAATCCTTTGAAAAGAACTTCTTTAAGGTCGACATTTAGAAAACACCGTTTTAAAAAAAAACGCAGCTGACTCACAGCGGCAGTGGCCAATTGAAATGCAATGAAAAATGACTAACATTTTCCACGAGTTGCCAAGACAAAGATATGGGTCAATGCTTAAGGCAACCACCAACGTTATTTATACTAAACTGTAGCTAGTGGTCTGGTTTTATACTTTGAGTTTTATATAATATCTATGATTTCGGTTTATTTTGCAATCAACTTGCAGCAGGTCTTGTCATCCATGAGCTCGCATTTTATTTGACTGTAATTTATAGTTTTTCATGTAGCCTTTTCATTAATGTAAACCTACGTCTTATTACATTAGCACGCACACTTTTTTGATTGCCGCACTGTATACATGGGCTTAATACACTCGACATTTTGTACGATTAACTCTTTTTGAGATGCTTAGAATGTCTATCAGCTTGACACTTCTGGTCTATAATTTACTTAATTTTGGTCAACATTACAACAAAGTTTTTGACAATTTTCCATTAAATGTGTCATTAATCAAGCTCTTAAAAATTCAAGTCTTTAAAACCGAAGTCAAGGCACCTGACGTTGTCATAGTAAATTGATTTAACAAAAAGCATTGGGTCGTGATGTATAGGTTTACTTATTAATTATTTTGTATTTTGAAAAGGGATATTAGATCTTTATTTTTAGCACTTCTGGTTGTTATAGATAAGTTCTTGCATTGTTACTACTGCAAGATTTTCCCCTACAATCCTCACAATTTTGACGTTTCCATTAAAGAGCCCTTTCTAGTTGCAACTGACCCAAAACCTAAATTTCTTACCTAGTATAATTTTTCTTGACTGTTATTTTACACTGCCACCTACGTCAATATTTAGTTGGTGGTTGATTTCAAAATCAATGAATACGTGATTGTTCCGAAAGCCGACACTATGGGAGTATGGGCAAATTGTTTACCAAATTATGACTGCCCTAATTTTTGTTTTCAGAAAGCTAGGACTTTTTGATTAAAATTCCCGCCTATATCCAACTGTCTTCAGAGGGCATTAAATAAACCTACTCATAATATTATGTATAGCATCCCTCTGTGTGGTTATAAATTGTTCTTTGGGAAAATTACATGAAATTTGAATGTCATTCTGCACCTTCGACATTTTTCTTCTTCTCATCTTTACTATCTGGATAGATAAATGCCCAGAAGACCCATTTAACTTCAGTCGATATCGCGATTACTGAAGAACAATTAAGTAGATTTCCCTATTTAAGGTACGCGGCTGATTTTTTTGCCTCCATAAAATATTCATTCCTACTCCATATGCGTAAATTTGGTTAAGTTTTGTTGGAATTCGCCCTTGGCAACATCTTAAAAACTTCTGACGATCTCACATTATTTTTCTTCCTATATCACTTATGATTAAAGTTTTGGCTCAAACTCTTTGGTCATTTGTATATGTGCACATTATAATAGAACAGGTCAACTTGCAAGAATCAATGTTTTTTTCTGTCTGGAATAATTTTTGTAATCCGCTTGAATGCAATGTTATAGGTGAACACGAAGATTGGCCTTATAGGTGTACCTTAAGTGTGGCGATGTGGCGAAAATGAACGAAAGGGTTATAAATTATCCGAGACCGGCGTACCATAGTCGATGAATGGACATTAAAATGTCCTCAATTAAAACCTACCTATGAGGATTTTTAAGCTAGTGAATTTAGATTGAGCATGTCATTTTCAGTCACAGTATAAAACCATAATTCTTTGAACAATAAAATGTGCATTTTAGTTATACTGAGCTTTGTTTTACACAGTTTCCAACACTTTTTAAGGGTGAATTTCTTAAAGGCCGCAGCCTATTAACAGATCACGATAAATGTTTATGCATGGCCGTTAAATTTCCGATTTTTTAAAAATTAGACTACTTTAAAAGAACATTTATTCTTGGAAAAATTAAATTCTGATCTCAATACCTTAACACAGAAAAAAAAATTTCGTACTTACGAGGAATGTTCAAGACTTTCATTAGCTTCCTGATTTTTTGTTTTGCCTTGCATAATGCCCATACATCACATTATTATCCGAATTCACTAAATGTACATCTATGCACACTTGCGCACAGAAAATTTTGACGATGTAAATTGCTCATTAGATAGTTTAATAAAAATTGAAAGTTTTCGAATAATGATATCCACGTATTTTGGACGAAAATGGAAGGTTCGAAATAATACCGTAATCATGTATGCAATAATCTTAAATAAGTCTGGGGTAAAAGTTATGAATTCTTAATTTACCAATAGCCCTACATGGAAATCAGATTTTCTTCATGTTCATTCATTTTTGCTTGTAGCCACATTTTGTTCACTGACAATCGCCTAACTATATTTTCATGATTCAAATTAAAAATTATTTTCCAAATAAAAAGGGCACTAATCAGTAATTTACTCAGCTTATCGATTTGGTTAGGCCAAATATGATTGCTAACCTCTGCGCTTTCTGTCGACTTAAATGAAGCAAAATAGAAAAATGTGTAAGTTATACTGATGGACCAATTCGGAGGCTAATAAACCTACAAGATGGGTAGGTGCGCAGCGCCTATAAAATGAATTTAAAATCGAACTGTATAGCGTGTGACTTTAATCAGATAAGATAAATTTTGCGCCGAAATGGGGCTAAGTATTTAGTATCTTGGATAACGGTTTTTGGTCCTAGTTCTTTTGCATGATGAGACTCAGTACGCATTACTAGCAGCAAAAATTAAGAGTAGTGCGAAATTATAAAATAGCTCACATTTAAGGTTGGTTTTTGCCTAACTCAATCGCGGATGTTTGACAGTAGACATCCTATTCAGGTCCCTATTAATTTTTTCAATAAATTTCACTAATTGTAATCGTTACTTTTACAAGCCCTCTTGATAAAATAATAATATGAGCCTAAATATGTGCCACACATAAGCCTTATTTATTTGTGTTGAATTCAGTCTTCTTCTCGCCGAATATCAACTACCAATGACTTTGGTCGAGGCAATAAATCACCTATCATTCAGATCAAAAGCAGATCTTCAAAATAAATTCAATTCTAGGCCTTGACACTTGCAAGATGTGTAGGCGCAATAACTTAACCGGGAAAAAAAAAGAATCTGTATTTTATAAAACTGGGTGAACTCTACAATGTCTGATTTAAAAAGTAATTCAGATGTTGGACATTCCAAAGGAGGCTGGTATCAATTTTAACTCTTTCTATTTAAACCAAAAATGCAACAATGACAATTTAATATAATTAAAGGGAGTAACGAAATCAGGAAACAAGGCAACGAATGGCCAATCCAGTTTATGTGTTTAACTGCTCCAAAAAATATAATCATCGGGTTCCGTGGTTAGGCATATTTCCTCACGTTGTAATTGGCAAGTCCGTTTTCCATCAGATGAGTGGTGGTTTTCAGTATCCGGAAAACAGGTAGTTGACATTTCGTTGACCTTATATTGGTTGTTTAGAAATGGCTATCAACAGGCTGCGGAGCCTCAGGCAAGGCATTATTTTCCTTTGATATTTATTTCTTTTTCGTCGGTTATGTATTTACTTTGTTTTTAACTTTGCAGCAGTATTTCCCTCAAGTGAACGCGTTTCGTAAGCTTTTTATTCTATGTAATTTCTTTAGCCTACCTTTCTCTAATCCCACAGCCTATGGCTTACGTGCCGGCGCAATCTGCCTACCCCCCCCAAGCAGTATATCATTCACAAACTTCCACCCAGTTGCTTCATCATGCTCAGTCTCAGTATTTTCGACAGACTCCTTATGGTCAGCCTGCTGTCCCCCCAACTGTTCCTCAGCAGCCCGTACCTCACTTACCACCTCCGGTTTCAGTCCCTCCAGTCCGTAAAGGTATAACTATTAAAGATGCATGCAGTAAAGAGGTCCTGGACATTGTGTCCATTAGTGCGCGTCACAAAGCTTCAGCCAACGAGACAAGAAGTGGGGGTCTTATAATTTCTGAACCCAAAAAGTCCTCAGGTCCAATCCAAATTAAGACTCCCCCGCCAAAAAATTCGGCAGCCCCAGCCACCACAGTGTCAAGTAAGTCCTCGGATCCGAGGTCCCCGTCCCCGAACGCATATCATGCTAATGAAGTCGAAAGGACGGTGTTTTTTGGGAAGGACTCGAGTCCCGACCAGGAGGTCAGTAAAGCCGTTATTCCCGAACCAGAACTTTCTCATGGGAGCACTGCATCGAGACAGGAGCTACCACCTCACGAAAGTAATGGTTCTGAGCACGAGCATTCGTCCCAAGATTGTGGTGGATTTAAACCTAAAGAGTCACCCAAGGAAAGTGTGGTTCCTGAACCGGAGGTCTCTTCCAGGGATGGCGATTCCATTAAACCTGAACTTTTACCTCAAGACGTTTTTACCGCCGAACCCGACAGAATTTCTCAAGTGGGTACTGCTTCCAAGGATGAAGTTTCTCAGGAGAGCGATGCTTCAAAGCCCGAGGCTTTATCCCAGGAAGGAGATTCATCATCGGAAGACGAAGAGCAGTCACCAGATGAGTCGTCACCTCCTGCCGTTGAGAAGTCCGACGCATCCGAATCAAATGCAGCAGGAACTATTCGGAAGTACAGTCGAGATCAGCTTATCGCGATCAAGATTGCTGCCAACTCGTCAGCCTCCTCTGCTAATGTACCTCAGTCATTAGTATCAGTCGGAAATAGTAATTTACTTCGCTCTAAACCCCGTCTAATGCATAAAGCGCACAACAGGCGCGTAATTAACTTCGATACTTCTGAAGTGGCGCTCGATGATGTAGAAAATGCATTCAAACCTTCCCACTTAAAGGCGGAAGATGGTTCCGTCGATCGGGTGTCTCAGTTATCAAAAGAACTCAACATTATTCTGAACCGACTGCTTGATGATAATATTTCAGAGGTTGCTATGGAGGTAAAGCAGCTTTCTATGAAGGGTGAAGCTGAAATTGGTTGTTTGGTTAAGGCTATAACTACAAAGGTAAGTATGCTCGGATTCATTGATTCATTTTGTAGGCTACTCGCCAAACAAAGTATAGTGAAGCATTTGCTAAGTTATGTGCACGCTTGGCTGAAGTGAGTTACACACATTTATACTGACGTTTTACAGGGTAGGCAACTAGAGGGATTTAGAAATCGATTATTAAAGGCAGTGAATGAACTTTTCAAGATTCCCCTTCAGGTATTCTTTTCACTAGTATGTCATCTTTAGGTACACATTGACAACGTCAATGCCCAAATTGATGAAAAAATAAAAGGCACAAATGATGAAAAAGTTAAAAAAATGCTCGAGGAAGATCGAGAAACTGCTGTCTCAAAAAAACGCGACGCGTTTTTTGGTATAATGCAGTTCTTCAGTTACTTGTACGTAAACAAGGTCATATCTCCTAAATCGGTATCCGATTCTCTAAAATCCCTTGTAAAGCCAAAATCGCAGGATGATGTATTGGCCCTCGTCACCTGCCTGACCATATGCGGGGAACAGATGGATCGAAATGCCATGCCCATCCTTAGTGAATGCATTGCTGGCCTTGAGGCGGCCAAAAATGATTTAAAAATGGAACAATATGTTCGTTACAAGATCACCACCCTTATTGAACTAAAAGAACGAAATTGGAAAAAACTGGAGGTCGCGCGGCCACCTTCAGCACCAAGTCAAGGACTGTCTCGCTCTGGGTTAGGCAAAGACGATATGGGTCGTCGTGTTTCAACTCTCAGCAGCATGAGTAGGCTCATTTTCTCACTCGATCCCGGTTTTTAGGAAAAATTGGAGATTCACAAGCTCTTATCGACACGAAGTCGCTTGCCGTGTCCAACTTACCCAACCGTTCCAATTACTTGGGCCCTCAATATGATTGGAGACAAGGCAGTAAAGCTCAACCAAAGTAAGTTAATTTCTTATGCTTATTTAAAAGTAGACTACAAAAATCCGGAGCAACAAGTGAGTCTGAGAATGGTAAAGACTCGAGAGCCTCCAGCACTTCCGCGAATAAACGTGGAGCTAATCAATCGTCTCAACTGAAAATAGACGAGAACTTGACTGCAAAGGAGGCCATAAGGGATGCCATAGATGCCTTCACAAACTCAGATACTCCTGAGGTTGGTCCTTTTGGTTGTGCACAATTTTTAGTTTGATTTGCTCTTGCGAGAATCTGAAAAAAAGGCATTTGTGAGGGACATATTGTGCAAAGCTCTTGATGGAAAAAATGATGTCCGGAGGCTTATCGTGAGAATACTTGCCCACTTGTACAACAAGCATCAGATCAGCGATCCCCAGATGGAGTTTGGGTAGGTTGTGATATTTAACGTGCGTATAATGTGATCGCTAATTTCATCTAAACATTTTATTTTGCCTGATCCCCTCAATGCATCATGACTTTGATTGCCGTTAAACTGATGTCTCAGTGATTATGCCGTCTAGGTGGTTAGTAGGCTCAATATTCGCGCTGACTTGTTGCCTCCGTCAAATTTATTCGTGTAGAAATTCTCAGTGAACCCTGCCGCAATTTCCGATAAACGGAGGCCATCACGAGGTCTTGAGTTGCGGTAAGAACACATGACATGACGCACGTAATGTAGGTCATCCACATCTCGAATTTATTCCTACAATAAGAATAACCGGATGTTTTGTGTAAGACGTTTCAAGGCCTTTGGGTTTATTTCGATTTTCAGCGTAAAATTAAACTAATGCGCTTTTCTTATTATTGATGGTGCGGTGAAGTTGCCAAATAAGTTTACCCTTGTCTGCATTCAAAAAAACTACCGTAATTTTAAAACTCGTTATAAAGAAAAACAATTTCATAATCATAGCTAAGTCGGTGAAAGCGAGTCGGTTATATTGCTCTTGGGTGACATGATTATTTCTACTCCGCTCTGGCGGTGTTGTGAGTATCATTAAGTTCTCATGAACCATCGGTTTTTTTCCGTACGGTTTTGAAGATTAGGTACTGATTAACCCAATGCCTGTCACACAAAGTAGTCTAGAGCATAGTAGTTGCCTACGTTCCAGTTGTAAGATTACCTCTTGCAGCCCACTTCTTGTTGGACCCCACGATTTCGTGACAGCCTGGAATCGCATTGTTTGATAATCCATTGCTCACACTGGTCCACAAATGTCTTTCTTAACCTGTATCATGCGCGGTCTATAGTAATTGATTTTCATTTAAAGCGGTATCCCCGGGTGATGAAACTTCGAAATGTTTGTACACTGTAGTTATAAGCCACTTGACAAGAGCCTATCTAAGAGGCCAGTCTTCGTAGTTTCATGTTAATTTTTCATTACCAAAACGAAGTGAGTTGTCTTAGTTATTATGTTGTAGAAAACATGTCTGGTTCAAAATCTGAAATGATTTAAAAATGCTTCTATTTTATCAGCAGAATTTCAGAACCGCATTCAGGGTTTGGCCTCAAGAGTCCTAGGAGGCCTGTGTGTCAATTTATGTTAAACGCCGTTGGGATGTTTTGTTAGAATTTTGAACTAACAATGCAACGTAGTTTTGCACTGAGCGCCGTCTCGCCGAATTCCAAATTAATGGAAAGCTGGATATTTATACCGTTTATTCGAATCCGGTGCAAAGTTGGCCTCGTTTAAATTACATTATATTCTAACTACGTTGCGCCTGACACCTCAGATACTGACATAGTCTCACGACAATGACTCCCGCATTTTGTTGCTGGTGCTAACCATATCCACCTCTCTTGTAGTTTCACAGAATTGGTGTCCTTTAGCGATGAGGTCGATTGTCCCAAGCTTGGTGAGTACTATGGCGAGCTAGTTAGTCCAGTCATAACGGCTTCGACGCTCAATCTGGACAAAGTAATTAGTCTTATCGGCAAGCTTCCCGAGGATTCCGACAAGCTTGATGGTTTGGCTCAATGCCTGAAACTCGCATCGGAGCGTGTGGGTGAACCTGCCATCGTGGCTCTTTTTAACAAAGGTGTAGCGTCTGGGATTACGTGGGGCGTAGAGAAAGCATTTAAAGACTCAGATTTCCTGAGGCGCTTTCATCTTGAATTCCTTGCTGCGGGTCGACCTTCTTTGAATGCGGCTAAGCAATGGCGGGGATCTCCGCAGGCGTCTTCAACAAATGATCGGTCCGTCTCTGGTCGCATAGACGAGTGCTTGCGGAAAATGAAATTGGATGAGTTAACTTCGGTTTGCTCCGAAAACTCCAAATCCAAGGATGCTGAAAAGTATCTCAAACAAATTTTTGAATTTGGCAAAAGTAAGTTACTGTCTTTATATTCTTTCCTCGTTCAATCTTTTGAAAATACGACTGCTATCGCTTTGAATTATAGGTTCAAGTAAGAAAGACCTTGGTTGTTTGGCGTCGGTTGTTAAACTATTCAGTGCCTCGTCTCCCGATGGTGAAAAGGGGCTAATACTTGCTCTTCAGAATTCTGTTGGTATGTTTTTTTTTCGTCTTTACATTTTGTTTTGTGCGAATCGTAAGACCCGGTATTCCGATGACCAGTTGAGAACGAATTCTCATGAGCGTTTTTCTTGTTTTTCATTCAAGAGATAAAAAGGGGGCTTATTTGGTGTGAAAAGTCGAAGCTAAATATGCGACAACTTCCGGTTCGACTAAGTTTTCTACCGAGACTCCATCAAAAGCTAGCACTCAGTAACGCATGGTAGTTGAACGTGCCTAGTGTGTCCAAATGTTTCAATCAATCGGAATTTTTTACCCATCGTTACTTTTTGTGCTTGAGTGTAATGTGGCCGTAAAAGGTAACGATGAAACGTGACTAAATTGGCTTTGATTATTGCGGAACTAAATTGGAATGCTGCTATGTGTTTATATTAAGTAAAGAATATGCAGGGACGCAATGCTTAGTTTTGTGGACCCTCTGAGTCGGCCATCGTTCGATCTGTGGTATTCAACTAACTAGCAATACTATTCTGTTTTCATACTTGTTTTTGACATAAAAGTCAATGCAAATTCAAAGTTAATGAAATTATTTAATGTTTATTGCACCTGGTATTTTCTGCTGCCTAGGGTGGTGGTGCTGATTAGAACTCGAATTATATGCCTGAATAAAGTCCTGAAATGAGTTTTTTTTTACCGTAACATTTTGGTTGCATTATGACGTTTCGACCCTATCTGAGTAATTTCAACATAATTTTGAAATTTTAAATTTTTTCTGTGGTAGTATCATTTGTGAGGCGAATTACGATTTTGCTAGTTTTCCTTGACATCGTATTTGCGAATGTAGAATGCGAAACTTCTAATCCAACCCACATTACACGCAGGACAGTAATTTTCCTCAAGATTTGCAACTTGTGTTCTGTTCGTTTTAGACAAAAACGAAGACTATTTCGTAGCCTGGCTTGAAGCATTGGTACAACGAAAAGTCCTGTTTCCCCGATCAGTTAATGCGTATTGTCAAGACAAACGCGCGGCGTCCCCTTTTAAAGAGGCTGCTCAACGTGTAGCCCGCAGTTACAAGTACTGAAATAGTCACCTGCGCTCCCAGAGTCCCCCATCGCAGGCACGATATGCTTTCCTGCCCTCGCCGCTTACCCCCTTTTTTCTGCAGTCTACTTTCCTTTGGTAACTGTGTGCTATGTATTATTTATAGTCCTGAATCAAAATGATGTTGATCTGCAATTTACCTGCACACACCTTTTCCCAACCTTTTACACACACATGCACACACACACGCACACACACTTGACAGCATTGTTACATAGTCCTTTGGCGAGGGATTTGTATAGTTTGAGATTTGTTTGATTTATTTTTTACCTTTTAGATGAGTGGAGGTCTTTGGTACTTTGTTTACCAGCGACATCGTTTAGGTATTAGTGGGGTTTGCTTGTAGTTCGTCCTTCTTCGTTTTGAGTTCTTTGTGTCCAAAAATCGTTGCACTTTACACAGCTACAGCCTTCTCTAACTTGACTTGCTCGCCTTGACTTCACGTGCGAGTTCACATTTCATTCACCTAGGTAATTTCACTGTGTGTCACGATGCTTAGACGTGATGCCTGACGGATCCGCACTATATGTGATTAGGCGAATGTGATAGTTTCATTGGCGAAAGCCGATCAGTTTCTTAATCTTAATGATCGGTATCGCCTTGCATGACACGTTCGGATGCCTGAGTTAACTGCCCTCGTTGCTTCTTAGGTGTAAATCCGGCTGTGATGCCTACCCCAGGCGCGTTGACTTGTGCTTGGCTGCCTTATGTTTAAGTAGGGTTTTACTGGTGTTCCGCTTGCTCTAAAGGAGGTGTAACCCCTTGTTTGGCGTCTGAGAGGGTCTTCGCTAATATAATCGACCATTATGTGTCACAGTAATTGACTTTCGGATTGCTGAAATTTGAGGGGGTCAGATTTGTGCTCCCGGGTCTGGGCTGCTGCACGCGTTGTCCCTTCATCGGTTTTCAACAAAATTCAGTGGGTTCCCATCTGGCACCACCGTAGGAAAGCGTTTTCCGTCCCTGTTGCGGTGGGTACAACGGCCACGTTTTGGCTGACATTGTTCACTCTGAAATCCGTGCCATCATATTTCATAGCCTGTATTGGTACATTTCCTAAATATGATTAACCAGCCGCATGTCGGGCAATCATACCCATGGGCCGAGGCATTTGATTATTTCATTTTTCAATACGACGTAGTGGCTCTACTTTAGTTTCAAGTATTGGTAACTGGCAATCGCAGTGAGTAGCAGTATGGGCGTTGTACGGTTCTGTGGATGTCGGCTACTTTCTGGGATCCTTGTCAGTGATATTGATGTGTTCCTTAGGTTGGAACACTGACATTCTGCTTCATGACGATTGCCATAGACCCTAAATGGGGGCCGTAGGATTCTGTACATCTGCTTGAGTAAATTTATAATCACTAAATTGTGGCTGGTTGCTTCATCTTTACTCAATGTTAAGATTGGGGTGGCTGTTTCCGTTCTTGTTGACCTTATAATGGAAGCAAAGGAAATCGGTCTAAGTGTGAAATTATGCACATTTTGAACGTGAGGTTTATTAAGATCAAGAACTTCTTGACCATGAATTCAAGTACTTAGTTTGTGGGGTTCGCAGAAATATCCTCACCTGTGAATAATCTGACTTTTCGGGGAGCTTCATTTACCTAACAGGGTATCTTCGAGGCTTAAGCGCACTGTCGACTAGATTGCTCGGTTGGTTTAGCGGGCATTTTCCTTGGATTGGCATCCGCCGGCAAAACCAAATTCTTATGAAATCTTTTCGTAGTAGCTCTGTGATCCCTCTCCTACTTGTTGCTCATGTTTAAATGCAAACGAACCTGCACTGCTTGGCGAATGAGATGAAATTTCCGCAATATATTCTGCGACTGCTTCAAGGAATGGAATGGAACGCTTCTGCTATTTAATTCTGCACACTTGTGGAGTTTATTGATGTGTAGATTTTAACTCTACACTAATTTAACCTCGCAAAGTAGTGCGCTCGTTTTCTATCACTCAGTGCATCATCGCAAATGAACTCAGGCCATCTTAAAAATGTGACCATAGCGTTTCAATCGGCGTTTTTCAATTTAGAGCTTTTCCCTTACCGAAAATAGATTATTTTATTTTGGACCCAGGTTAGTATTGGTGGATTCATTCTCAACTTTGTCTGTTTAACATCTTCACCAGATTAATAATACACATACGAAAGCCTCATCGGTCCCTAACTAAACAAGATACTCACAGAAAAAGTAGGATGCAAATTTGACCTCTAACTAAGCACCATGACCGGCAAATCCTCTTTATCATAGTGCGTTACAGGGACTTAAACTGGATGTGAACCAGAATATCACACGTGATTGGCGCCGACCTCACACTTGATTTGAGACAGGCAGACTTGACGCATCCTTATAGTAAAGCCTCTGCTAGAACGACAAGTCTGCATCACGATAAGGTACAAGACAATAGATAGTTACTTCTTGAGTTATCTGATTAAAGACCCTACCCATTATCACCATCAATCAGACAACTACTGCACCACTCCTTTGTAATCAGTATTTGGTGCAGTCAATGTGCCAGTCAAGATTTGCCTGGCAGAGCATCAGTCAATTTAACTCGGTCTGAGTTCATTTCCGATTAAAAACTTCGACCGCGTAAGAGTTATTCCACTGGATTAATTCTGACTAGTTTCAAGGAGCGAGAGAATGTTTAAATCCACAATCTATGCAAGCAAATTTAATACAATTTTCGAGTTGTCGTTACTCAATTCTGATATAGGGGAACTTATAGAAATAAAGCGTGCTGTAATTCGTGTCGGCTACTTGATTATCAAGCAACCAAGAAAGCTTAGATGTCAATGTAACGGAGGTGGAGGAACTATACTGATTTTCTCATTACCGAGGGTTTCAGTTAAGGGAAATTAAAAATAACGTCTCTTTGCAGCTACTTGACCATTTAAAAGGGTTATAGGTTACAACCATTATAACACAACCTGTTTTAGTAGTGGAGGTCACAAGAGCATTCACGAAGGGAGTCCTGCGGCATGTGGTACTAAAATAAGCGAGCAATTAAGGAAAATCTGCTTTGTGGAAAAAAATGAGTCTCTGTGAAGGCCACTAATTTGGTTTCTTAGAACAAGCAAGAAATACTACAACGCAGGCTTTGTGCCTAAATAATCTAACACCTTTTTACGGAAGCAACAGTTATTACAAAACAGGAAACGAGACGACCTTTAAAGAGTTTTAACATTTCTGATCAATTAAAGACATTTTTTGGTCTAAGCGTCTTCTATTACCCATTCCTTCATGTTCAGGCGCATCATGCCCAGAAACTCGCTACCATAATTTATTTATCGTTACCAGCCAAATGTGTTTCTTAAATGCTGGCTTAGCCCATCTCTAATTTACTTCAAATACCCACATTTTGCAGCGTGGGTGCCAAGAATGTCGGAATGGGGTACAAATTCGCAAATGCCATACTTCAAATAAGTGAGGACTAATCCAAGACATGTTGAAGGCCGTTTGTTTGATAGCGCGTCAAGTTACATTTTACCACAATCCACACTCTCAAGATGAATAGCTCTGTCATGACAACTTCTAGATTGTACACAGAATTGACAATACTTCCAAAATTAAACTCTTGCGTCGAAAGGGAAAAGAAAGCATTAGAACCCGGTGTGGGTTTTGCCAGTTGCATAAAAAAGAGGGTTTGCTCAGGTAGTTACTCGTTACCCAAGGCTATTTTTTGGATCTGAAATCCCGGTATTAGCTGATTTTCGATGCCCTTGTAAACGTAACGTATAAATCCATTTTTTACAAAACATGCACTTTTCGCGTTTGGAGAAGTAAAACTCAATTTTCATATTTCTTTTACCAAGAGTAATCCTAGATTCACCCAAACACCTGAGATAAATTTTATGTCTTGTTACTGCTTACATTTATTTACCAATAAATAATGTTAAAAATTATTCTAAGTTGTTGTGCACTTTTACATGCGCATTTGATTAAACTAGCTTTTTTGAATTGTCTTCCGGGTTTGTCAGCAGATTTTGATTTCCATGTGTGAGGCCTAACACGCAAAAATGTACTCATTTTGATCAAAATCTTTAAGATAAATTAATGGTAAGCTTAGCCCCTTAGAGTTATTTGGAGATGTATAAAGGAACGATGGGGATATCTATTATGAAAGGTTACTTTTAGTTGTTGGTGTTTTCAACAAGCCTTAATGACTCGTACAGGCAAATTCTACCCTCCTATGATGCGCACACACGCCATGCGCCCTGAAGTCTTGGCCTTGGGCCAACAAATGTGGCGGGTAACTAGGCAAATACACAGCGGTTAATAATGCGTGCATCGTTTGTGAAATCTCTGACATCCAAAATTCTCATCAAAAATGTTCAGAATACGCAAATGTGCAATAATATAGATGGGGTTTGTGAGGAATTTGCTTACTTAAAGAGTTAGAAGTCTTAACATGTCTTAAGGGATTTTTTGTGTTAATGGAGAACGACCAAAACGCATTTGAACAGGCTCCCTCCATTGAGATGAACAGAGTGAGTTAAGCACCTGATTGTGTCGGTTAGAATACTTACCAACAAAAGTCGGCAACATGGTCACACATTCCATCAAGCGTTATGGTGTGACCTTTGTCTCACCACCTAGCATAGTTAATATTTGTATTCACCTCGAGGTGAACAAATATGCAAATCTAGAAAGCATGCAGATGGAATAAACATAGCTTAAGTGCTTTAAGAACATCAAGTTGAAAACTTCACAGGAATGTCACAGGATGTTACACTTCCTGTGTCAGGGCGTTCAGTGATGAAGGCAATAAAATAAGAATGTAAGCACTTCCATCCACACAGGAAAGCTCAGTGAATATGCAATTCGAAAACAGAAAAAATTAAAACGATGTCTAGAACGATTTATTTTGGGGCTAAGTTGCAGGTAAACTCAACTGGATACCATAACAAACCCACATAATTTTCTTTTTCATAAGTTTTGGTTACTTTCATGACAAAATTCTAACCAAGCCAAAAAG